AATTCATATTTTTGTAAGATTAAGTATCATGTCATAACAATAACAAAATTATAACAAAAATTAACATTATTATTAATATTATTAATTTAATTAAAAATGTATTATGAATCTTGTCTTTTATCTTTAATTTCTATGATATTTATTTTTATTGATATTTACTTTTATCTTATTGTATATAATCTCTATATTGTATATCTTTTCTTTCTTATTTTATCTATATTATAATTTGCAAATTCCAAATATTAAAAATTACTATAATAATCTTGATTTTTAATTTTTGCTTTTTATAAAAATAATTATATAACAATTATGATTAAATATTGTTTTTTTTGTTTTTATATATTATAGGTACATTTTGCTCCTGATATGTAACAAAAGTCTAGAAAGAAAAAAGAAATTAAACAAAGATGCTTAAATCTATGGCTCTATATACTTTTTAAATAAATTTTATAAATTTAAAAGTGTTTTTAATTTTAATAATTATTTCCTATTTTTATTTAAATTTTATTTAAGATAAATTTTCTTTTAATTCTTAATAGAAAACATTAAATATAAAAAATTATTTTAAGATATAAATTTTAAGATCTAAATTAATATAAAAAACAAATTTTAAAGATTTTTTTTATATTTATCACTAAATGTTAATTATATTTCAAAAAACAGAGTAATTAAAATTTGAATTTAAGTGAGAATTGATGAACATTATGGACCAATCAAAAGTGACTCTCATGTCCCAGTCTCTGATTAGAGGATCTCTAGTTAGGAATAGATGAGTGCTCCATCCGTGGATTGTCGTTGCACCTATTTTCCGAGGACTAGCGTCAAAAACCAAACGCATCTCAGTTTCTGCATATACATTGCCGCACGTAAGCGCTTTCATTTGCCGTAAACGTAAACATAGGTTAAGACAGAGAAAAACGTAAACATAAGAGGTTGCACGTAAAATGAAAAATTATTCGATGTGCGAAAAGTGCATTAGAGAAAGATGAGTAATATTAATTTATATATATTTTAATTGTTTATAAGTGAATACATAGTAAAATAAAATAAAAATAGATTTAGTCATAAAGACAATAGTTTCTTCGTTTCTTTTATCGATAGTCAAAGTAGTAATTATTATTTCAATATATATTTTTATTTGCTTTAATGTTGCTGGAAAAAACTTTTCTAACATTTATTTTGAAAATTATTGCTTCTTTCAATTCTTAAACAAAAAGTTAGTTTCTGAAGAGCTACTAAAAATAATAAAAATGTCTGATCATCTAAATTACTGTACAACTACTGCGGGTTTATCTGATGCAATTGATACAAATGATTGGAATGATAGTGATAAAAGTGCAAATATTAATATTGAAACAAAAAATGACGATGAACTTTTAATAGAATTATATAGAGAACGTCCATTTTTATATGATAAAAGTAATGTTAATTTTAAGGATGCTTTAATGAAGCAAAATACCTGGATTGAAATATTTAAAATAATGATCGAAACTAATTATGGTGAATAATAAATTTCACTTATATAACTTATGTAATTAATAAAATAATAATTGTAATTTATGTCTTGAATCTTTTAATCTAAAACTTTTTCTATTTAAATGACATGTACACTCCTTCGTATTGTCAAAAAAGATGTAGCTCCTTAAGGAATCAGTATAATAAAGAAAAAAAAGAATTGAAATTGAATCCAGAAGTGGAAGTGTTGCTACTAAAGCTATTCGATTTCCTTTTTTTCACAGTTAGCATTCTTAGATTGTGTCATTAAAAGACGAAGGTAAATAACTTATTAAATTAATTTTTTAAATATATCAGTTGTATAAACATTTTTTTATATGTTTATTTCTAGAAGCTACACTAATTGCATAAAATCTCAATTAAATATTATTGATGAAAATAGTAGTACCTGTGAATTACAACATATTGCAAGTATATCAAGCAATGAAAAAAATGAAAATACAGATAAGCAGCACATTCATAACATGAAATATTTCAATAAAGAAAATTTAGAATCAAAGATGAAAAAAATGAAAACTTAACGAAACAGAAAAGAATTGGAATAAACATTAGTTCAAATGAGTCATAAAATTTCAACTTATATGGAAAGGAAAGATTCGACAGCAGATAATGCTTTCTTTGAATTTATAAAAGCACAGTTTAACAGTATTCCAGAAAAAGAAAAGAAGAAAAATGATTATGAATGCTCTTACTGGCCATTATCAGAAAAGTAAGGGTTATTTATTTGAAAAAGTCATATGTTCTGTGATAGAATACAAATATGAAAACATTGCTTTTTTCTTATAACAAGTTTGTTTTATCTTAAAGATTTAACATAAAAAAGACTTATTAACCAAAGTTTCCCGTTTATAAAAAATTATACGTATTTTTTGTTGTTAATCATAAATAAATGTTTTGTTTATTTCTATATAATTCTATTTTTTAATACGAAAACGTTGTTTTTTTTGTGATAAGTTTGCGTTATCTTAAAGATAAACATAGAAAAGATTTTATTAACCAAAAAGTTTCTTATTGTAAAAAATTATATATATTTTATGTTGTTAATTGTAAGTACGTTTTGTTTATTTTTATATCATTTTATTTTGTAATGTATAATAAAAGTCATATAGAAAAGTATTTCTTATATTCAATATTATTTTCTAATGTATACATTCTGTATAATTTTCTGATGTTGAAATAGTTTGATAAATCAAAACTTGTGTTGTACTTATTTTTTTTATTTAATATTACAAATTACATTAAAAATATGATATAGCATTTATAATGTATAAGTGGTTTAAATTTATAATATAAAATTATAATGAAATTATATTTCGTTTTGCAAATATGTTTCTTTATTTTATACAGAATGCACAAAAGTCATTGCAATACTTTTTTATGATTTTCTATTTTAAATAGAACACATAGATAAAAAATATTTTTAAAATAATATATTTAAAATTATGATGGCACGAAGTATAAAGCATGTTATAAATTAAATGATTTATTTACAGTTAATGAAACAAAAATAATAAATCTTATATGATTACATCTTATGTTATTTTTTTTAATGTATCTTTGTACATAACTTGCAATATTTTAATGAAAAATGAAAAATGAAGATGAATTTTTAATTTTAATAATATACTGAATAAATCTATACGTTTTGCTAATACATAAAAAAAAAATTAGGTGATTAAATAGACAATGGCTTGTGAGGCCTATTAATAGAATGAGAGATCAAAATGCAGAATGTAATAATTTATTTCAAAAAATAAAAGTAATTCTAAATTATTTTATCGTTATACCAGAATGACTTTAGTACATTTTCAGCAATTAGTACAAATAACAAAATCATATTTAACAAAAAAAAGTTCTCGCGCTTTAAACCCTGAACAATTTGTTAGCGTAATACAATCTAATTTTTATATCCAAATATTATATAAATGTCATATTTTCACACACACGCACGCCCGCGCGCGCGCGCACACACACACGCGCGCACACACACACACACACACACACACGCGCGCGCGCGCGCGCACACACACACATACATACATACATACATACATATATGCATACATACACATATACATTTATTCATTTATTCATCTGCATAAACACCTCTTTGAAGAGGTCAATCATGTAATCATGGTAATCATGTTGCCATTCCACTTTTCCAGCTTCAGAGATAAAATAATCGCTTAAAATATTTCTTTGAGCTTCGGCTGTTCTTATATCATTGTTGTCTTCTTCAAGAACATTCGGTATACTAATCCAAGGTACATCCTAAATATTAAAAAATTATTATTTTGATAAATTAAGTAATTTTTGCTTTTATTTATACCTGATTAGTATTATTATTAGGAATTTCTTCTTGGCTGTACATTTTATGTACACTGCGTTGCTCCTCTTTCAATACATAATTGTGTAGACATACTGAAGCAGTTACAATTAAATCAGCGGTTTCTGGCAACATACTGATAGCTGTATGGAATATTCTCCATTTATTCGAAAAAATTCCAAAAGCACTTTCTACTGTTCTTCGTGCTCTAGAAAGTCGGTAATTAAAAATCTTCTGTTTATATATCAAGTTTTTGCTGGAATAAGGCTTCATTATTCTCTTTGACAATTTAAAAGCATCATCGGCTACAAAGTACGTGTGCGTTTTTATATCGCTATCAGGAAGATTTATTGATTCTTCTGGTAAATTTAACTGATTATTCTTTAAATTTATCCCTATGTCGCACTCATTGAAAATGCCACCGTCACTATTTCCTGTAAATAAATAAATTGTTATTTTTTATTATTATATGTTACATAATTATTGTTATACAATTATTATATCCAGATATTATACATATCTGTGAGAATAAATTTCTTGTTTCTTATTGTTTACCTCCATATGCTCCAATGTCAATTAACATAAATCTGTATAAATGCTCAGCTGTCGCCAATAATACTATACTATAAAATTTTTTATAATTATAATGTAGACTTCCAGAGTTCGGAGGACAACATAATCTAACATGTTTGCCATCAACAGAACCCAGACAATTTGGAATGTTCCACTTCTTCCAATATCCATATGTATATTTTTTCCAATCTTCTTCCATAGATACAGAAAGATTGGATATTGGATTTAAAATCTTAATTAAAATAAGACAAACTTCTTTTATCACTTCTCTTACTGTGGATTCACCAACTCTAAACGCCAAAGCTATACTAAATGGCTGGTCATCTGTAGCCAGATATCTGAAAAAATATTACAATAATTATAATATATTAATATTAATATTAACTATAGTATGAATTAGTTACTAGGCACCTAAATATGAAATATGTTATAATTATATCAATACCTTAAAGTTATTAAAAGCCGTAGTTCTGGATTTAAAGCACGAGAACTTTTTTTTGTTAAATATGGTTTTGTTATTTGTACTAATTGCTGAAAATGTACCAAAGTCATTCTGGTATAACGATAAAATAATTTAGAATCACTTTTTATTTCTTGAAATAAATTATTATAATCTCCATTTTGATCTCTCATTCTATTAATAGGTCTCACAAGCCATCGTCTATTTAACCGCCTAATTTGTTTTTTTTTACGTATTAGCAGAATGTATAGATTTATCCAGTATATTATCAAAATTAAAAATTCATCTTCATTTTTCATTTTCATTAAAATATTGCAAGTTTATAACGCGGTCATCTCGCTCGATGCTCGGATCGGCTCGTCGGTGTCCGAGTTCGAGAGGAGAGGAGACTCGAGCGTACGCGAACACAGGTTGCAGCGAAAAGATTATTTATTGGTAGAAAGGTAGATACAGAGTAGTGCAGGGCCGGGTGATGTCGCAGTGTCGCTGGTAGCAAAGCGGAGACGCAAAGCGGTTGGCGTAAGGCGGCGAGAAGCGCAAGACAGGTGCGGCGTGCGGTCGACAACATTTATTTACACGTGACTATGGCGCGGTTACAACTAAAGAACTTAGAGCTACCGGCTTATAACTAACGGGCTTAACCTGTATTGCATACACTTACAAGCTAATGTCAGGTTGGACGGCGAGGTATTGCGAGTAGGGCCGAGTGTCACGTCGAGTCCTGCCTTCGCAATGGAAACCGGCGAAACCCGGTGGAGCTGAGCGAAACCTCAGCCCGCGGAGTGGTGACAGGAGTCGGCGAAATCCGACAGAGCTAAGCGAAACCTTAGCCCGAGGCATGGTGACAGGAGTCGGCGAAACTCGACAGAGCTGAGCGAAACCTCAACCCGAAGGTAGAGAAAACCGGTGAAACTCGGCAGAGCCAAGCGAAACCTTGGTCCCGAGAAGTAGTAGATACTAGTCAGGTCGGTGTCAGGAGTCGGATCGCAGGATGGGATCTGGTCCCGATGTCTCGGCCGGCCGGGCTTATATACCCGGCCGGCGTTCCCCACTGTGCGCCATCGGTCCGGCGGTGGAGAGTCGGTATCGCGTGGGGTACCATGAGCGATAGCGTGAGCGAGACGGCGCGTGCGGTGTACAGGCAAGCGAGTGGAATAGCGCGAGCGGTGTGTGTGCAAGCAGGATAGGCAGCGCAGGACAAATAAGCCAAATATATATATATATATGGATATATATTTCCTTACAAGTAACAACCCTGTCGTTACAAGTTATGTATAAAGATACCCTAAAAAAAATAACATAAAAAATAACATAAGATGTAATCATATAAAATTTATTATTTTTGTTTCATTAACTGTAAATAAATCATTTAGTTTATAACATGCTTTATACTTCGTGCCATCATAATTATAAATATTATATATTACATTAAAAATATTTTTTATCTATATATTCTATTTAAAATAGAAACTCATTAAAAAATCAATTGCATCAGATAAATCCGCAGTAGTTGTACAGTAATTTAGATGATCAGACATTTTTATTATTTTTAATAGACTCTTAATAAACTCTTCAGAAACTAACTTTTTGTTTAAGAATTGAAAAAAGTAATTTTCAAAATAAATGTTAGAAAAGTTCTTTCCAGCAACATTAAAGCAAACAAAAATATATAACCTGAAATAATAATTACTATTTTGACTATCGGTAAAAGAAACGAAGAAACTACTGTCTTTATGATTAAATCTATTTTTATTTTATTTTATTACGTATTCATTTATAAACAATTAAAATATATATAAATTAATATTATTCACCTCGTTTCTCTAATGCACTTTCCGCACATCCAATAATTTTTCACTTTACATGCAACTTCTTACGTTTACGTTTTTCTCTGCTTTAACCTACGTTTACGTTTACGGCAAACGTAAGCGCTTACGTCTCGTTCTCTGCCAACAGTCTATGTATGACCACAATACTTTCAGAGTGTAAAATATTCGAATATCGTGCTATTAGGGAATTTTGTCGTAAAAAATTCGATTTGTAGAACCTATTAATACATTGCTCATAAAGTTGTGTATTTTTTTAAATACTCGTTACTATGTAATCAGCGATACTATATAAAACGCTATTTTCTATATAATTTAATTCTTTTACTTTTTGAGATACGTAACTAGAGACCCTATAAGAAGAGACTCGCCAATTCATCACGTAACGTTAGTAGACTCTGATTGGCTGGGATATGTATTGCACATCTGTGCTCCATGAAACGAAACAGATGTTTCAATAACCTATTTTGACAGATATATGTCATGTAACTATATGTATTGTTACAGTACTATGTTATAGTTATACGTTATATGTAAGTTAATTTATCATATCTTTACAATTATGAAAGAAAGCAATATATATAGCAATAGCAATATATGCAATATATAAGCAAAATATGTATCTACGTTTATTAATTTAAAGTTTATTTATAACTACATATATTGTTTTCTTTCATAATTGTAAAGATAAATAGATATGATAAATTAACTTACGTATAACGTATAACGTATAACTATGATAGAGTAATACATAATATGTATCTATCAAAATAGATTATTGAAAATAGGTTATTGATATCTGTTTCGTTTTATGGAGCACAGATGTGCAATTCATATCCCAGCCAATCAGAATCTATTAATGTCATGTGACGAGTTGGCGAGTCTTTTCTTATAGGGCAAGGATCGGCAAGTGGGCACTGCTCGCGGGCGCCCAATGCCCGCGGGCAACAATTGAGTGCACTGGGGTTAACGTTAGGTGGCTAGGCGCAATAAAGTGAGAAGAGGGGATAGCAGAAACATCTGTTCATTGAACATGCTGTTCAAGGAGTAAAAAATATTGTGTTGCACAAATTCAGACTCAGAATTAGCATAAATTAATAACTATTTATATTTTAAATAAACAAATAAACATTCTTACAATAATATATTAAATAAACAACTCTTATAATATTTAATTAGTATTTGATTCATAGTTTTCCGATATTATATACAATATATCAGGTGTTATTGTTTTGGCACAACTTAAATGAATTATTGCAAAATTCAAATGTGAATCTGTTAACTGTATTCGCATAATCGCGATTTATTCATAATAGAAAATAATTGTTCACATGAATATGTAGAACCGAACATACTCATTATTGCAGCACGAGCATATAGTCGAGAAAAATATTCTTGAGATATATATGAAGAAAATTATACGATGGCAGTTATTGTATAAAAACGATTTTTAAGATCAGTGTCACATTTTAAATCTATTAATTCTAATTGTATATCTGCAGGAACAATATTAATATCAACAATAAAAGATGTCATAAAAATAAATGTCTTCTTCTAAAACATGCATTTCCCTAAATCGACAATCGAATTCATTATGTAATAATTGAAGTGAATTTATATATTCTTCATATTGCTCTTGAATGTGCATGGCAACAGATAATAAATTTGAAAAATGTAATAACTGTCGAGATTGAAATTGATTGATCCATAAATTAAGTTTCATTTTAAAAGATCTAATTTGATCAAACATATGAATAATTAATTTATCTTTGCCTTGTAAAGAGTAATTTAATGTATTTAAATGATTAGTGATATCCGCAAGAAAGGCGAGATTGGCAATCCAGGAAGACTGTGATAGTTCAGCACAGACTTATCTTTCATTTCTAAAAATATAATTATTTTTTCGCGTAAATGAAAGAAACGCTAAGAGTTTTACCTCGACTAAGTCATAGTGTTTCGCAAAAATAAGAGATATCGATATAATCTGACTCTAAAGAAGATAAAAATTTGCGAAATTGACGATGATTCAATCCAGTAGTTCTAATAAAATTTACAACTTTGATTACAATTTTCATTACTTCGTCATACTTTAAAGATTTTGCATATGTCTCTTGATAGATGATACAATGGATCGAATGTATTTCTTGTTTTGATTGTGCTAGTTTAGACTTTAACGTCCTACGAAGTCCATATTGTGTTCATTGCTGCAACATCAGTAACGCCTTGCCATCAATAGTAACTGAAGTTAATTTATCCCAAGATAGATTTATGTTTTCTATTGCTTCTTCAACGCTAAACAATATATCTTCTCCAGTCGTAGTACCTTTCTCCAGTCGTAGTACCTTTCAGAGGTTATATTTAAAAAATTATATTTAAAAGTTCCTCAGTAATAGAAAGGTTGTTATCCACATTACGCATAAAAATTGCCAATTGTGCAGTATCAACGGTATCAGTACTCTCGAGAGCTAATGAAAAAGCAATAAAATTGTTTGCTTTAGTACCAATTGTCGCTCGAGATTTTCAGCTAATTTTTCAATGCGACGTACTAAAGTTTGAGAAGAGAGATTAATTGATTTAAATTTATTAATATCATTAGAATATATTGTTTCTAAGCATTGGCAATTTCTAAACATTGTTTGACAAATGGACCAATAAAATGGACGTGATTCACGTACAATAAGATGA